TACTATTTACTATCACTAAACCCCATTTTTCACGAGCTTTCATTTGGTATAAAATTCATGATATCTCCGATTCGAGATCATAGTGTTACCCCCCTGGAATAATATTATTTACCACCCTGTACAACAGAGTGTAAATCAAAAGTAGCAGATGCTCCGTACATTTTGTTTCTGCTTGGTACACTTGCCATTGGAAACACTGCTTACGACTGATTCATCTTCGGAAATCCAAGGATAACAAGATATTCAAGTATAAAAACATGGTTTCTAGAGCTTTGATATCGGTATGATTTATCTCCAAAGATCTATGAGAATTTTCAAAAAACGTCTCTCATTCTTGAAAGTAGAAAATGTTTCGGGATTATTTGGCGATGTCACAAGTCGGGTGTTGATGTAGGTATGAGATGTCGGTGGAGAGAAGATTAATCCAAATCGACACTGAAATCTCATTCAACCGACACAAAAAAAATACTGCTAAAAGTTTAACTTGTGAAAATGTTACGCATACTGTAAATACTTAATAAAATCATTATCTCGTTCAATTCATACCATGGGTAACTCATATTTTAAATTTATTAGTTTGGAATTGAGAGCTTCAATGTGACCTGAATATGTCTAATTTTCTTTGCTAGCAGTGCTAAACCTTCCATCGTTAGAGAAAACTTGAGCTTTACAAAACAATGGAAAGACGCATTATCAAACTGCATCATATTTAGACGAATCTTTAAAATATCATTGTATCAGTTATGTTAATCAAATATAACTAACGAATAATAAACTTTAGGAAAAATGTCATATGCGCAAATATGAATAAGACAGATAGCAGTTGCAGAGTTTTGCTCGATTTTACACTGCAGCTGAAATTTGTCATGCGTATGACAAGAATAATCCTCGATCTAACTACGCAATGGCAGCTAAAGACAATTAAGAAGTTTCCATTTCATGAGAATGTACAGAATGGGAATGCTGTAAAATTTCTTTTTGAAATGCAAGCAAACTCACCAATAACATCGAGGGTGATAGTCATCTCTTCAGTTGACGTCTTATTCTTTGCTATCACCTTGTACACACCTTGATGTTCTCGCTTTACGCTGGCCACTGAGAATGTGTATCGCGTTGTTTCCACACTTGTAAACTTTATTGCTTTGTCGTCTTTTGTCAGTTGAACTTCCGGTCTTTCCTTGCCACTCACGTCCATGGTGATGTCGAATGCTTTGCCTTCTTCCAAGTCAATGACATTTGATGTTGGTTTCACTCTTGTCAATTTTACTGGCTCCAGTACTGTAAGTAGGCATGGAGTCGATTGTACTTCGTCAACTTCGTTCTTCAACACGACTCGATAGGTTCCTTCATTCTGTACCACTGTTGTCTGTTTGATCAGCAACTGATATTCACCCTTCTCCTCGTCTATTGATGCATTGTCCGTTCCAATGGGTCTATCTTTGAAGAACCATTGAGCAGATGGCTGTGGTGATCCTCGCACGACCACTTTCAATGTGACATCTCGTCCACTCACAATTTCTTGCTCGTTGGGCAACTGTGCAGTGATTATTGGTGCAACAAGAACAGCAAGTTGAACAGTTTCTTCTTGATAGCCATGAGAATTCTCGAGACGACAAGTAATCGAACCTGCATGTTGTTGCAGATCGACGTTCGAAATGGACAACTTGGCTTCACCAGTCACAGTATTGAACTGCACTTGCGAACCTTCTTCCGCTGTCAATGGTTTTCTATTGAGCACCCATGTAATAGTCGGTGTTGGATATCCATCAACCTTCGTTACGAATATTGCTGTCACACCTTGTTTCACTTTTTGTGTTGTCGGCTTGACAACAAACACTGGCGATTCTACAAGGGCATATGTATTCAAAAAGAAGAAAAATCAAGACGACTTACTCGAAACAGTGACTTTGCACTTATTGGATTTGAGTGATTCACCAACATTGGAAATCTTGGCTGAATAATCTCCTTGGTCTTCTGGTTGTATATTCAAGATGGTCAGTGTATATGTATCATCATCACCAGTCGGTGTTGTCACTTGAATATGAATGTTGGGTGTGAGTTCATCGTTGTCCCTCATCCAGACAATGTCAGGTTTCGGTGTTCCATTGACGCCGATTTTGAGTGTCATGGTTTCGCCTTTTGTGACTTGCAGTGCAACATTGAGATTGGTATTGATGACAGGTTTGATGCAAGCAATGTTCAATGTTGTTTTAGCTTCAGCTTCCCCAATAGCATTGGTTGCTCGAGCAGTATAAACACCTTGATCGGCAAGTTCAACTTGACGAATCGATAGGGTCGATGTTCCATCATCAGACTCAGCCACTTGAAAGCGATCGTTGGTTGGAAGTGGTTGACTATTGAAGAACCATGTCACTCGTGGTTTCTCGATGCCACTGAACTTCCATGAGATCTGAGTATCTTGACCGATAACACATGACTGATCGTTCACTCGTTTCGAATTTTCCACTTTGGGTGGAACTAAAAGAATACATAATCGTTCATGTTGTGCTTAGGTAATGACGAGACTACTCACCTCCAACGTTGATTTTGGCTGCTTGTTTAGTCTGATTAATGCCAACCTGGACTCGAGCGTGATATGTGCCTGTATCGGAATGATCGCAGTGGTTCACCACGAGTGTAAATAAATTTTGTTTGGATTCGATCTGGTATTTAGCAGAGTTCTCCAATTCTATATCATTGAACAACCTAAATACAAGAAACAAGTAGCAAGGTACTAAATTTCGAATTCATGTAGATCACTAACCATGTTACTTTCGGTGATGAGAATTCATCGCAAGTGAATGATAATGTACCGTTTTGACCGATAAGAACGTTAATATCAGTTAACGATTGCGAAATTTTCAATGATGCTAAAAACAAATGAATATCAAAATAGTAGGTCCAATATTATTTGCAAACGTTTCAAAGCTTAAGACTGTTCTTGATCATTAACATTCAAGTGTTCTTTTCAAAACAATATATTTTTCTCGTTTTACAGAAGTTACTCATTATATTTGAAATGGGAAAGATCTAGGAGTTACAATTCATTTAATTTTACATCGGTTTTAATGAATGCAACTCCATGTAACTTTTAGCATATATGAATTGAAATGCATCTATTTTGAATAACAGAAGTCATTTGAAATTTCACAATTAGGATTCTTCTATCAGTAGCTTTGAAAAGTTCGAAATGGGTTTTGAAAAAAAAAACGTTGATACATATTGGTAGAGTTATAATAAATAAAAAATGTACGAGATATATAAACTATTAGTATGAAACTTATCAATTAGTGTGAAATTCACACATTGGCTACGAGTTTATTTATCATCACACTTTTAATGCATGTTCAGATATTGAATGTGTAAGGGTGAAACGATTTGATCCTCTCTTTACTCGAACACAAAGAAACTACACTTCCAACTAGACATATGCATGAACAAGTAGTACTGTATTCACTGATTGATTCTTACTTCCTTTTTTCATGTCATCAGCGAAAAGAGAAAACTAAAGATGAGATTCATAAGAGAAATGCAAGTGGCATGAACTGTAACAGAATGACAACAGTTTATTCTGCACAATTCGCTTCTTAAGGTCGACTGAATACGGACTTGTGAGCGACTATTGGAAAGTTGATACTGCATGTGAACTGTCTTCCGATCTTATTTCTCACGTTATTAAAGGCATGTTAGATTTAAGTTTATTTCGCATCAGCTTATTTGTATCGGTTTCAACGTTGACGTGTAGCATCAGTCAACTAAACAGCACTTCGTTTGAAAAATGGATCTAGATGTTTAGATGACTGCCAGATTAATAATTCAGATTTGGAGTTATAAATCAGAATTACATTTATAAGGAGTCGTTTGAAGATTCTATCATCACTTTTTCATTCATTTTTGCTCCTTCTTCCGATCAAACATAGCTGGCAAGTTTTTTTCAAAGCAAATATCAGTTCCATTCATATCGTTAAAGCTTTTGGCACAATTCCTACGAGATTAATATGTGACACGCGACGAAGCAATTTTGGTAGAGTAAAAGGAGCACTATGTTGCAATGTCTGTCACAGCCTACGGGATAGCGGGACGCCGGGGAGTAGAGTTCAACACTCATTAACAATCGTGTTTCACAAAATCCGGCACGCTCTGTATTACACTAGATACATGCTCGAACGCAAACATATTGCCTGTTGTTCTAAACAGTAACATGGCAGAAATATATCGAGCTAGTATTTAAGCTGATCGTGCAGAATGTTTAAAGAGGTCTTGAAATTAGAGAGGGCTTTCCACTATAGGATAATGTTGATTAAAATTAAATGCGGTGAAAGACACTATAAGACAGAAAACAATGTCCTTGATGTTAAATATAGCATACATGCCATGAAATGGCAAAGAATCCAACGAGAATGGGCAGTACTGTCACATGTTTGGCATAGACATGCCTTTGACTATTGATGATTTCAGGATATTTCTCATGCAAAAGACCATTTTAGGTCCTCATCAGTAATAAAGTGAGCTCATACGCTACAGAAAGGATGTAGATGTGGATCTAGATGAATAGAAGACTCATATCATGTTCAGAGAATCATTAAATCTATCTATCAAGCATTAAAAAAATGAAAAACGAAAAATCTGAAAATTTGAGGATATTATGGAGCAGTATACTCTAAAGAAAATACCGAAAACGATCGTCATGTTCTTTTAATCAAGTTTAAGAGATTCTCATCGTTTTAGAAAAAAATTAATTTAAATCAATGATTTCAATTTGACAAAAGAAAACAAAGATCAATAGGTGAATTAGAAAAGTGATTGAATTTAGTAAGGCTTTTAATCGATGACTTGGACAAAATCGACTTTTTATGAGAATCATTATTTGAAACTAAACCATCCATTGAAATTAATGGAAGATTGTCATGAAGAGTCTTATTTTTTATCTTTTAAAATGAATCGATTTTAATTTGCTTCTTAATCGGTTCTTCTAGATGGGTAGCAAATCGATTCTTTATGTTCATATTTTATGATGCACGCATTGATTGAAGGATATAATTCTTGATATTTTTCGCAGTATTGAAAGTTGAAGCGTTATTTACGAAGTGAAATATTATTTTGTTTTAGTTTTCACTTACTGAGAGAAGTTGGATTGATTGGTGATGGAACAACAACTGGTACTGGTTGTAAGAGTGAAAACGGTGGAAGAGTTTCCTCTAGTTGAATAATGTGAAGATCACCTTGATCAAGGGAACTGATTACTTTAAATTGAGTTGCAGCCATAAGCAGTACTTCGTCTTCAGCTGCATAATACGAATGCTTGCTAATGTCCCTAGCTGATTTACATTGTAAGGTAAACATTGTTCTGGCGCCTGTATTTCCCATAAATAGTTCTGATTTTAATACACCAATAGATGTTGTACAAGATGAGAAAGCCCACCAGACAATTGTTTCTCCTTCAATGTAGCGTTTGCTTAGATCTAATTTAACACCTCTGTATGAAGTTGTAGATCGTAGTGGAAGACGGAGAAGTGCATTTAGAAAAAGTCTCAAATAAAGATACCACGGTTTGAGTTTTTCTTGCCGATTCCGTGCTCGTAATGTATTATTCAAGGCCATGTAGAGGCACTCGTCAAGTGGATCCCATCCCATCGTGTAAAGCATAATTGAGGCCGATTCATCTTGTGTCAATTCATCGGCAGGTTTCTTACATCTTTGTTTGGCGACATAAGCGTGACTCTGAATTTCTGGTAAAATTGGAACTAGTGGTTTGACTGCTTCTTCAAGTGTAACAAGAGACTCTTTCCCGTAACCACTAATGGGTGCAAGAAATTCCAGCGGTTCCTCTACAACGTCAGTAACGCGTAAAATGCGTTGTGCTATCGCTTCTTCTCCTCCCACAGTGGCCATTTTCAACACAGAGAGAAATGTTTCAGAAAAAGATTAAAATAATAAATATCTGAAAATGCAATAAACGATAAGTTTTATATTATTTTTGTCAACATCGATCTTTTTGTCTGTTGACAATAATCAACTTTTCAAAATGTTGAACTTTTATCACAATGCGTTGTTTGATGTTATATAAGTTCAAAGAGGTGCAATATGCGTGTGATATTAGTTCCAATATTCATAAGAAGAAATCTTCTCATGGAACAATTACAGTAATTCAATATTTTTATACTGAATTATTAATATGATAGAGATTTATTCAATACTGAATGCACACTATTTTCTTATGTATTGATTCTTCATTATCTCATTTTATATCGATTTTCTGAACATAAATTTCATTTAAACATTACTGTTTTTCCGAAACTTTTTTCCGAATTCTATGTCATTTATGTTTCAATGAATGAATAATGAGATTCACTGAAAACGTCTGACTAGATAATCTTTTTTCTATTAAAATTTTTAACAATATCCATTTAACACTGAGGATATCAGCTTCGGGGGTATTAAACAGCTGTGCTCTCAAATAAATGTAGAGAAGAATGGATAGAAATGAATTTATAGATTTAGTTAGAAAAGATGCATGTTCAGACATTGCTTTTATAACGAATGATTTATACAGAGCTCTTTATCTGTTAAAAAATGTTTGCAAGGTAGTTGTATCAATTCGTCATTCGGATTAATCATGACAATAGCTTTGTGTTCCAGTAGAAAACTCCTACTATTGTGATTAATGATGGGACTATGCAATTTCTGTTGCTGCCACTCAAATGAGTATAAGTGTAGAGTTGTTATACGTAAAAACTATCGTGTCATATTTTTCACGTTTTTGTCATTGTTAAAAAGCTGTTATTGTTTACATATATTCGATTGAACGAAAGAGAATTAAGAAAGAAGTCTTCTTGTCCTTTTCGTTTCAATAAAAGATCCCCAAACCTCTTTCGATTATCTTCATTCTAAAACATCTTATCAAGTGATTATTAATGATGATTGACGATGATGGAACATACAACAGAGATCATCTTCTGCTAACTTCATTGACGTTTCTATCCATTCGTCTTTGCTAATTAATAACTATCAAAGATAGATGTAAAGAATGTTTATTTTGTACAACGATACCTCAAACGACTCTTTCTAATAGAGTTAGAACTTTTCTGTTGCTCCCAACATTTTCTAGGAAACAGACGAATAAAAAAAATTAACAACGGAATAAATTGTAGTGTATTACAAATCGGCGAGAAATGTTGTTTTACAAAGAATGAAACACTTCGTCTTCCTTAATACAAACTTCTATCCATTAAATACGGGGTATCAATTTATACTTACTTTCAATTTAATTTATGTGTAAATTAAATTTATTGAAATATAAATTATCGATGGTTTAATACATTATAAATTTGAGTTATTTTCATTTCGTAGTTAAACATTGGAGATTTATTCTACTTTTTTTTGAAAATTAATGTACGTTATATATCCTATGCTTAACTAGGATGTGAAAATAATTCAAATTTATAATGTATTACATTATCGATAATTTAAATTTATATTAAATCAACAGAAAAATGACACCCCTGCCATTAAATTTGATTATTTCGCAACAAAACCATAACTAATATAGATTAGAAGTAGCCCTTTTGAGCAAATTATAGCCGGAGGCAAATCGATTATCATACGAAAAAAAATTTGATGCTAACGGGTTTTAATTTTAACTTTGCAATATGATAAGATGATCGATAGTCTCACGTTATAAGAAATGTTTTAGATGAAACTTTATTTGTTAAATAGAACCTATCAAGACTAGATCAAATCTTGAATAAATCGTGTCCTTCAGTCGTCTTTCTCAAGTTTAATCCAATTTATCAAGTTTTCGATTTATATTGAAGTATTCGATAGAATAGAGAAACGTAATATTAGCTATACTAAAATGAGAAACCGATGGAATTCAGCTGGAAATCTATTGAGTATCTATCTTTGAAAAACTCTCAATCGTCATGTTGTGTTCACAATTACTTGCAGAAAATGTTCTTAGGTGCCACCTCTTTCTTGTGATGATCAAACTGCATTCTGTTACATAGAAACTTAGTACATGTAATTAAATGATAAGTAAAAATAAATTCGATTCGATGAAGTTTGACAGAAAAAAATAGGCTGTATACGTAGTTCTACTTATTGAATAAACAAATATGAAAATCTAAATTTCTTGTCTTTTATTGTTCTTGATACGCTTCCTCCATAAAAAAAAACTGTTTATTACACTGAAATCTAGTAATATTTCGTACTCAATATTATTTTACTTTTAATCCATGAAATTATAAGAAATATATTGGATTTTATTCTATAAATTTCTAGTTCGATCATACTAGTATCAACGAGCATATTTCATGAATTCAGTTTGTGTTCTGTTAGTTTCGATAACAAAAGAAAAATGATAGCAGCATAATTTATATCCTGTTTTATTTTACAAAATATTCGGTTTCCTTACGCGATGAATGATTATATTCATCATGATCGTGGGTACATACGGCTACTTGAACTGTTTCATCTCCGAAATGATAGATCATAAGGAGAATAATATCTTTTTGGATTTTCTACTTTCAATTTTATGTTTTCCAACTTGTCAAAATTTTCTGTTTGATTATATACAAAAAGTTAACTGATCGCTCCATTGTTTGAGGTTATGATCATGCTGGAAACGCTAGTTTTGGCGAAATTTCATTAGAAAAGGAACACATAGTTAAAGAAAATAATGTCTCGCCGGATTCTCGATATGTTTTCATTTATTTATTTTAGTAGTATCTTATTATTACCACAAATATATTTGATGGATAACTGTTTCTTTCTTTGACAATGAGAGCTTATCGTCGATCATTTCTTCTTTTATACTTAACAAAATTTATTTGTTTTAATTTGTTGATATTATGAATACAGAGTCCTCCTCATAGAAGTCTTTGTTCCCTCAAATTCATTGAATCCCTAACTTCTATGGCGGATTTTTTCAAGAATAAAAAATATACTAGATAGCTGAGTTTTAAAGGTACCTGTCACAATTGAAAATCTGCTGCTGCAACGATCCGAGTCAAAAACATGTTTCGAAAATCATTGACATCGCTGTATTGAAGAGCTACTGTTGATACTAATCCATAAGATTCATTCGATTTGAGGATTTAAAATTTGCAATCTTGCAATTCTGATCCAATTCATGCACCTGTGCAATATTCCTGAGAAAAAAAAGTAGCTGCACCGTCATGGAACTCGCTGAGTTAGATGAACTGTCTTATCAAGAACACAATTCGGATTGAGATATTTCTGTTTTACAGCAGTCTTTCAAGAAGGATGATCATTTTACTGGCGAACTACTAAAACACTCTTAATTCTTTATTGCTGAAGAAAATAGTAAGATATTTGACAAATTTCTTGGGCTTCGAGAGTCCTCGAATTGAAGGAAGTAAAAAATTTATTAAGAAGCCAGCATTGTAATACTGAAAACTATACGATACTTTAAGGGCTCAAGGAACATTAGGAACTCTTTGATTTCATAAAACTCGCAGAACTCAAATAACCGAAGAAATTCACACAACCCTTAATATTCCAGAAGCACGTGAAATCTATGACTTTGAATGAACACATTGTGATAACTACTTATTTTTAATAATTGAATTAAACTGTAAAAGGAAGTTTTCATTATCAAAAAGCTTTCAACTTTTGCCTAGAAAAAAGTCATCAACACTTGTTCGCAGTCTCATCCACATTTACAATATAACATTTGTAGTTTTCATTCAGCTATTCAAGTGAGTTTTCACTATAAAATTATTGGATCGTTCAAATCGCGTTCCAAGTATTGAAGAAAGAATTAAATTAATTTGCCATCTAAAATGACTACATGTGAGCTCATCAACGTATCGTTTATTCTCAGCTTTGCAGATATTCTTTTACGATGTTTCATAATGTATAATTATAAGTATAGCGAAACATTCTCTGTTATATAAATACACTTTGGAACGATGTGGTTACTCTATAAAAACATTTCGTAGCATTCTCAGCTCTGGCAATATTCTCTAAATATGTGTAGGTATGGCTGTTCTTATACTATAATCCTTTTGTTTTTTATATGAGTTAGAATTTACTGCGAAAAAAATGAGAAGGAGATGTTCAATATATAGTTATTTTTTGAATAGAAGCTTTATTGTCATTATTTTTCTGAAAGTATGCAAATGAGAAATTATGTGTAAGCTATTTAGCATAGAAAACTATCACCACTCTACTGTCTACTTCAACTAAATTTTGACCTGTGTGATTCTTGCTATCATGTCAAGGTGGTCAAAAGTGTCTGTGGTATACGTATTTTTAGAACTAAACATATCAGACGATTCAGAATCAAGTGATGTTTGATCGATGTATAAAGGATGTTCACTAAGTTTGAATCTGTATGAAAAGTGTTACTTTTTTTTTTACAAGGTTCATCAATGAAAAAGGCGAATTTTACCTCATATTGTTACAAAGATAAAAGTATTGAAACATTTCACAAATAATTTTTAATTGTAGATATGTTCAAAAATTTGAACATTCGTAAAAGTTCGGTTGAAATAAAATCTTCTTTTGAAAAACTACGATCGCAAGCAGCAATTCAAGGTCGCTCGACTAAATAAGAATGGAATTAGAAATTCAGTACTATTCTGAAATAAACTGATTTTACTTTTAGTCTTCAACAGGTTTTTACATTAAATTCACTAATTGCATTTAAGTTATTTGCTTTTGGCATCTTCGACATAGATTTCTTTGAAAGTTGCTATATTTGAAGAGATAGTTTTGTTCTCTAAGTTTGTATTTCAGCTCTTAGAAGTAAGGATCTTGCAAATGATTGGCGAATTCAACAAGAAAATATATTGCAGACTAAAAGAGAGACTAACTAATTTCAGAACAGTACTGGATTTTTAACTCCATTCTTATTCCGTAGATTGATC